ATCCCACTGCATACGTCCCATTGAAACTAAACATCTTTTCCTCCATGCTTGCCCTTTCTGACTTTCTGTTGTTAAATGATTAGCCCTTCTCCACCCAGTTACCTGAGCCAGAAACCTCAGCACCTTTAAAACATTTTTTTATAATTTTGTAATAATTATAAGCTTACAGAAAAATTGCAAGAATAGTATAAAGAACCTCTGCTTTTGCCCAAATTCCCTAACTGTTGACATTTGCTTTATCATTTTCTCTATGTATATTATTTACATTTGTGTTTATTTATAGTATTTATATATATATATATATATATATATTTTCCTGAACCACTTAAAAAAGTTTCAGATACAAAGCCTCATTATCTTTAATATTTCAACATGTATTTTCTAAAAACAAAAATATCTCCTATGTCACTATACTCATCAAAATCAGGAAAATAATAGTGTTAAAATACTACTGTCTAATCCAGAGATCCCATTCAAATTTTGTCAGTTGTCCTAATAATATCTTTATAGCAAAAGGATTCCATTCAGAATCATGTATTCCACATAATTGCCATGTATCTTAATTTCTTTCACTTTAAAAAAAAATTATTTAGGTCTTCCTTTGTTTTTCATGACCTTGATCCTTGAAAAGTACAGGTTTATGATTTTGTAGAATGTCCCTCAATTTGGGGTTGTCTGATTTTTCCTCATGTTTAGATTCAGATTACACATTTTTTGCAGGAATGTCACAGAAGTGTGTTCTAAATGCCTCTGACCATGAGGCACACAATGCTGATTTGTCTCATGACTGCTGCTGGTAACTTTGCTCACCAGTGCCAGATTTCTACACTGTCAAGTTTCTAATTTTTCCTCTGTGTAATTAATAAGTATTTGCTGGGGAGATACTTTGAGACTATATAAATATTATAAGTCTCTTAATACTGTCACCCTCTAGTTTTAGCATACACTGATGATTCTTGTCCAAATCAACTGTTAGTTACTATCATGACTGCCAAATAATGATGTTTCTACTTATAACACTGTCTACATTCATTAGTTGGCATTTTTATGTAAAGAAGAGCTTTTTCTTTATCCCAATTTTTCAAAAAAATCAATTATTCATTTTAATATGGGCTCAAGTATTCCTATTTTATTTAGCAGACTATAATCCATTAACATCATATTGGTGCTCAGACTGACCCAGATGTGGCCAATGGAGGCTCCTTCAAGCTGGCTTCTGTGCCCTTTCTATACGTTTCTTCATTCTGTATTAACTTCCTTAATTTCTGATGCAACAAGATTTTCCAGACTGCTGTTATAAAATTAACCATTTCTCCAAGGGACCCGAGTTACTGTCAGTGAATAATAGTGTTTGAAAACCAAGATCTAGGCACATGTGCTCATCGCTTCTAGCATACTATTACTCTGAAACTCTTTCAGCAGATAGAGCTAGGAGAAATATAAAGATAGATACGTATACACATATACAGACATACTTTCCTCTATATTTCTACATGTGTTTACGTATGTATTGAAAACTATGAGTTCACACTGACATATTCAATTCCAATCCAACATCATCACAAAGGTCATTGTGGAATTCCTCCTCTGCCAATTTGTAACTTCCTTCTCTGTCAATGAGAAACCTGGCTCCCATGAGACCTAACATATTTATTTCCTCACTCCCTTTTCATGCTTGCTACCTCTTTACTTGGCAAGGGGAAGGGGAAACAGCTGGTCATCGTTTTTTATTCTTTCTTATCCACTCTTCCATCCAATCAATCACTAAGTCCTGACATTTTTATCTCCTAAAAATTTCTCAAATTGGTCCATTTCTCTCCATTCTGACTTTTCTTAGCCTCGGCCATACCACCTTTGTCTGTTACATGGCTTACAGCAATGCATCTTAACTGGTATTCCCAGATCTAGATTAGCTTCTTTCCTGTCTCTGAGGGAATATGTTCTCTTTCTGCGTCCACAAGGGGGCATAGTTTCCAGGGCAAGAATTTCCAAGCACCGTATTTTCTCCCCCCGCCCATCCATCTTCATCCGGGAGATTTAACGGCTTATGTTTAAAGCAGGCGCAGAAAAAATCAAAAGTCAATCACTCCAGCAGAAGTTCTAAGGAACTCCTTTCATCGGCAGGGGTCTTAGAGAAGGTGGGGGTTCCTCCCAGGTTAAAAGTCCCCTTCTTCCATAGCCCTTCGGACTCCATGTTTGGGTCCCCTTCCATGAACACTCCCTTCATGGAAGCTGCCTTTCTCTCTCCTGGATTTCCCCCTTTGGAGTCCCCTTCTGCACTCTCTCATGGAAGCCTGTCTTCCCTTCCTAAATTCCATCTCTCTCTATTCCCTTCCACTCAGTGTGGAAGCTGCTTTCCTCTCCTGATTCCATCTTCCTGGATTCTCTCAGTGGGAGAGTTAGCTGTTTCTTTCTCTCTCCTCTGGTTTCTCTCTCTCTCTCTCTCTCTCTCTCTCTCTAAATAAATCACTTTCTACAAACACTTTTGGGTCTGGCATTTACTGCACACTGCATCATGGTTGCCTCTCTCATTCTTGAGAGGGCAGGAGACCAACAACCTGGAGAAACGTCCTCTCGGGAGCTGAGGGCACCCCTGAACCCCAATATAACATCTCCACTCTGCAGCCATAGTTATCCTTATGAAATTAAAATTTGAGATTTTCACTCCATAGTTAAAATTCTTCAATGGTATTTCATTGAATACAGTACTTTCTGGGTCGCTTCATAGCTTGTTTAATCCTCTTGTTTTATTTCCTCCAAAAGCTCCTAGCCTCATTCTCTATCTTTTAGTTAGCCAACTTGAACTTTTTTCTTTTTTTTCAGTTCTTGTGTTATACCAAACTTTCTTTTGATGAACACTATATGCCACCTGCTTCTACCTGAAACCCTTCCTAACCTGGACAACTCCACACATTATTTTGGTCTTTACTTAAATGTCACTTCTGCTACGAAATATTCCCTGATCTCTCCCACCCCATTGCACCTCTGCATGCTACTGTAAATTCTGTAAATCTCTGTAAAGCAAGAGATGATAAGTGTTACACATCAGCTAGTCTGGGGATTGTATTCTGAAAATAACTCTCCACTGAGAATGAGCAGCCAGAGTTATAACCTCTCTTTAGAAAAGTGGGTACTTAATTGCAGTTGTGAGGACAGATGAAAAGTGCATAAAACACTACAATGCATAGCTCTTAGAAGGAGCTCAATATATGTTAACTACTATTCATCCAACCAATGTTCATGAAATGACAACTATTTCATAGCTACTGTGGTAGATGCTGGGGATAGAAAAAATACAATGTAAACTGAAAATATAGAAGAGTGTCCAAAGTGTAATAGGGAATAGGAGTGTTTGAAGAAGTCAGTCAACCTGCTTAAGATTCAAAGGATGGGCAACATTTGGCTGTGACATACAGGAGTGTAAAAGAAGGAATTTTCAGGAAGAGAGGACAATATGTGCAAGGACCCGGTGTGAAAGGCTATGGATTGTTTTTCATGGTACACATAATTCACTGTTGCATAAAACTGCATGGTCCATCCTGGCCAACATGGTGAAACCCTGCCTCTACTAAAAATACAAAAACTAGCTGGGCATGGTGGCGACGCCTGTAGTCCCAGCTATTCTGGAGGCTGTGCCGGAGAATCGCTTGAACCCAGGAGGCAGAGGTTGCAGTGAGCCGAGATCGCGCCAGTACATTCCAGCCTGGGTGACAGAGTGAGGCTCCGTCTCAAAAATAAATAAATAAAACTGCAAGGTACACATAATTCAATATTGCATAAAATTGGAACAAGAAGCTAATGAGAGATGAAATTAGGGAGATGGAGCATTTTGTATCCTAGGCAAAGTAATGATTTTCTCTTACAGATTGTCTTTCAAGAATTTTCAACAAGAGAGTGGCATTATCCGATTTACATTTTTAGTCAGGTCATTCTGATAGTGTGGAGAATGGAATTTAAGAGTTAAAACTGGAGTTAGAGGACCGGTAAAGGGCCCATCTGAGGAAGTTAAAAGAAGAGAATGTATATGCTTTGGTAGAAGATGCATTTAGGATACTGTACAGTTCTTACTAAAAAAACCCTGGGAGGATTGTGGCAGCTTAAAGCAAAATAGAAATCTAGGAGAGTAGGTTTAGAGTGGAAAGTTGAACAGCTCAGTTTGGTAAGCACTGGATTAGTTTCCTCACAGGATTTAGGGACGAACATGACATAGTTTGTAAGGTGTGGCGATGCCAGTGAGAATGGAAAAGCTGGCCTTCATAAACTCTCCCTGCACAAATAAAGCAACAGGTTACAGCGCGCGGCTGTAAGTACAGGAACTGGCCTGGATTCACGAGTCCACGAGTAACCCAACCACTATTTTTCCAGCCCTGGTGACTCAGAGCTGAAGATGGTGCCAGTGGCAGAAATCAGAAAAGTGGGTGGGAGCATTAGGTGTAGAAAAGGATGGCGTTTTAACTTTTGTTTCCCATACATAGGGAGGCAACTCTAAAGGAATCATGGGTAATTTTTTGTTAAGATTTTGTCTGTAGTACAACTCTTCATTTTCCACGCTTTAAAACCATGGTTTCTTTTGTGGGCGCGATCGCGTGGGGAGTGACAAGTCTGTTTCTTTGCCTCGTTCACTCATTTTCTTATTCTGGGCGGGTTCCACAACAGCCTCCCCAGTTGCCTTTACCCAGCCAGTTTTTTTCCCTGAGCTTGCTACAATTCTGAGGAGGAAAGAGCATTTTCGGGGGCGAGAGCGGGTTAGACTCACGCTCTGTGGTGGCACCCGAACAATTTCGGGTCCCTTCCCGCTCCAAGTAGAGGAGACTCTTCCCGCTTGCGTGGTCTGGTGGCAGGAGCCTGGTAATGCCTCCGAAGCGCTGGCCGGCCAGAAGCCTGAGGGCCCAGGAGCAGGCGTCGCACAGCCCCTCCTCTCAGGCGGAGGCGTTGGCGGCGCGGGGGGCGGGTGCATCGGTCGCCAAGGCAACGGCGGCGTAGTCAAGCGCTGACGTCAGTAGGCGGTGCGCCGTCTGCACTGCGGCACAGAGCCGTGGCTTGCTCTGAGCCCGCGTCGCTGGTGGGTTGAGTGGCTGTGCGACTGCCCCACTCCGCGCCCGCCCCGCTAGGCGCGGGCAGTCAATTTGCACTGCCCCGGGTGTCGGCTCGGGCGGGACAGGCCGTTCTGCGTCCTCCTCTCCGTGAGTACCTCGTGGGTGCGCTGGTGGCTGGATCGCGGTCCCGGGTGTTCGGCCTGCTCGGCGCTCTAGAGCGCAGTGGTGTCAGGGCTGCTGGAGTCCGAGAGCGCGGGGGCTGATCGCGGACTGACCCGCGAGCGTAGGCCGGGTGTCTCGGGCGAATGCGATTTCTGAGAGTCCTCAACGTACTTTTCCTCTTCCTTCAGTGGTCTCCGGAGAGTTGAGCATGGTGCTGTGATGGGGAATTCACGTCTTTGCCTTTCCTACTCCCGATTCTTGTTTAAATGCTTTTAAATCGGATGCATAGTGTTTATTTCCTTTTAGAGTGTTAACCTGGGTTAAATCTTCAACGTGTCAAAAGCCTTCTTAAAAACGTCTGAGGTGATCAATGTGATCACTTGTTACAAAAAAAGGTGATCAATGTGTTAAATGTATAAGAAAAGAACCAAATTATATTAATAGGTTCGTTTAGAGATGCATAAAAATAGAACAAAAATGTAGACCATTTAAGAATCCTTATCAAACGGTTTTGCTGCGTTTAGCATTCCTGTGAAAACATCTAAATGTGAAAATAAAGCTTTTCTCTCTCTTTTGGGGGGTTGGGGAGGAAAGAGATGCCAACAGTTTTTTCACCTGTTGCATTAACAGTTGCTGTTATTGCTTGGGCTTTAGGAAGATTGCTTGTTGTGAGTTATGAGTACTCTGGGAAATTTTTAAAAGAATGCTAGAAAGAAATTAAAACCAAAAGTGTTTTTGAACCATACTTAGAATCTTGTTTATGAAGAATAATGTTTATGAAGTTAGAATCTTGTTTACTTATGAAGAATCTGGTTTATTCATTGAATTTTGTATACAGGATTTTTGTTTGCCTTTTTTTCTCTTGCAGTAACATTTGGTTAAGGAGCGAATTAGCAGGCCTCAGTTTTTTCTCCCATTCATCTTGAGTCATATATTGGCTGATAATCAGGTGGTCTGTAAAATAAAATGAGATGAAATGTAGTCCATTTAATTTTCCTACATAGTATCTCTTAGAAGCTTCTGTAAAAGGGTTTGTGAGGGAAAAGTTGTAAAATAATGGAATATGCAAGATTCAGAGGTGTCTTTTAAAGTCTGTCCTGAATTTTTGCAGATGTTACTAACCAAATATTAGTAATTCTATCATGTGTTTGCTGTAGTGCACATTAGGATTTAGAGATGGCTGAACGCAGTGGCTCACACCTTTAATCCTAACATGTTGGGAGACCAAAGTGGGTGGATCGCTTGAGGTCAGGAGTTCGAGATCAGCCTGCCCAACATTGGTGAAACCCCATCTCTACTAAAAATACAAAAATTAGCTGGGCATGGTAGGATGCACCTGTAGTCCCAACTACTTGAGAGGTTGAGGCAGGAGAATAGCTTGAACCCAGGAGACGGAAGCAGCAGTGAGCTGAGATTGTACCACTGCACTCCAACCTGGGCAACAGAGTAAGATCCTGTCTCCAAAAAAAAAAAAAAAAGTTAGAGATGAGTTCTGTAATGTATTTTCTGTGTTATCGTTAAATCATGTTAGTGTTTTATTAGTTGTGCATTAAGCTATTAATAGTACATAAGTGTATGATTTAGTTAATCATGTATTTAATTTGTATTTATTTATTTTAAATACAACAATAATGGACATTTTATTGCAATGTACTGATTATTTTGCTTTTTGGTATTTTCTCTTTTCTTTACAGTAGTAAAGTAAGTACCATTTTAAATTCCCAGACAAAGAAAAAACAAGGATTAGAAATTAAGTAGCTTGCCCAAGGCCACACATCAGTAAGTGGTGACAGTAGAGTTCAAGCCCGAGTCTTTTTTACTCTAGGACCATTGCTACTGCTTTGTGTCTTCCCTCCCCTCGTCTCCTGTCCCCTCTCCTTCTCACTTGCCCCCTCCCCTCCTGTCCCCTCCCCTTTGCTCTCCTCCTGTCATCCCCTTTTTCTCCACTTCTCTTTCGTAGTGGCAGATACATAACTATAGAGAGCATTGGCCTGGCCCTCCAAAGCTAGCAGTTTTATGGGAGTCACAGATATTTTACCAGGGTGGAAATTCAGGGTTGAGGTAGAGAGAGTTACAAAGATTAAGGCATCCTGGTAGCACAGAAGAGAAGTACTTAACTGCCCTTCAAGGTGAGAGTGCTCTCTAGAGAAGATATCATTTGCCTTCAAAGGATGGTGAGGAGTTTGTTAGAGTGACAAAGGAGGAAGGACATTTTTCAGGAGAGGGGATATATGTGTAATGATACAAAGGCAAGAGAGGACTTCGCACATGTGAGGGCCTGCAGGTAGTTTCACATGGCTGGAACACAGTGTATGTGTGAAGGGGACATTTCATAAATAGCCTCCTCAATGGTAAGGACTTTATATTTTTTTTCAGTGTGCGATTGTGAGCTAGTGAAGAATTTTAAGCAAAGAAAATTTTGGGCCGGGCTCCAGGGCTCATGCCTGTTATCCCAGCACTTTGGGAGGCCAAGGCAGGTAGATCACAAGGTCATGAGATCGAGACCATCCTGACTAACATGGTGAAACCCGTCTCTACTAAAAATACAAAAAATTAGCCGGGCGTGGTGGCACACGCCTGTAGTCCCAGCTAGTCTGGAGGCCGAGGCAGGAGAATCCCTTGAACCTGTGAGGCGGAGATTGCAGTGAGCCGAGATCGTGCCACTGCACTCCAGCTTGGGCAGCAGAGCAAGACTCCATCAAAAAAAGAAAAAAAGAAACGACACTGTCACATTTGAATTTTGGAAAATTACACTAGTTGCTATATAGATGATGACTTATTTTTTTTTTAAAGGGAAAGGTGATAGAGGCATGGAGACAATCTTAAAACAAACAGCATAATCCTTCTACATTTTGTCCCTCAGAGTTACTGTCTCATGTCACTGCCTTTAGGGGTAATGGGAAGACAGTTGGAAGAATTCTGTAAAGAATTGTCAGCCAGGCGTGGTGGCTCACACCTGTAATCCCAGCACCCACCTTGTGGGTGGATCACAAGGTCAAGAGATCAAGACCATCCAGGCCAACATGGTAAAACCCCGTCTCTACTAAAAAATACAAAAAATTAGCTGGGCATGGTGGCTCGCACCTGTAGTTCCAGCTACTCAAGAGGCTGAGGCAGGAGAATTGCTTGAACCCGGCAGGCAGAGGTTGCAGTGAGCCAAGATCGCGCCACTGCATGCCAGCCTGGCGCCTGGTGACAGA